TTTGGTGTTGCTGCTATAGATGACCCCTGATGGCAACCGGGCGCCTTTGAAACATCTAAGCTTCGCCGACTTTCCAATCACGAGGAGCGGAGTTTTGTCAGTTCCAGTCATGTTTACGCAAAGCGCCACTGATATTCTGTCTTTTGCATTCTTGCCGCCGGCGCACGTCTCGCCTTTGAACACAAGTGCTTTGTCTGGTAGCAGCTTAAAGAATAGCACCGATTCATTCATATTAAAGATGTCATCAAGTGCATAGTCTTCCAAGATGTTATTCAGCTGACCATTTTGCCACTGCTCCGCGCCATCCACGTCAGCTGCAGCACCTTCTCCCGAAACAGTCCTCGTGGTAACGCCGTGCCTCGCCTTAAATCTGGCCAGCCAGCCATTGCTGCACACGAAGTTGTCATGGTTGAGCTGCGAGGCAAAACCCAGGGCCTTCTCCACGAGCAGGGGTCTGCTGATAGGCAGATTTTTTGACCGTGCAGCTTTTAGCCACTTCACCAGCGCCTCCTCAACATCCGAAAACGCCGAACCGCGTAGCCGGCACCTTTTCGCAGCTGCAGCAGCACTGCCGAGCAGTGCTGGAATTCCAAATTACACACACCGTGGTTAACGGCAGGTCCTTTTCACATGCCAGCGCCGATTTTTTCGTGCCGCTTTCAATAGCACGAATTATGTCCAATTTCTCCTCTATTTTCAGCACTCGATGCTTTAGTCCCAGCATCGGCATGACGCAAGTACGAAGCAGCACAAGCACACATACACAACACATGAAAAACGACGCGAGAGCTGTACGGCACGGATCAACTAGAGAACACCTATGCACGATGCCAAAGGAACAAAGAAAGCAAAGCAAGTGCACACCGTGTTTGCGTGTTTGTGCAAAGCGCCATCACGTGGACAACACCAGAAGCCTAGCCGGCCGAGTGCTTCTTGTTGCAGAAAAATCCAAGAGATGACGCTCACCAACACAGCCGCCATCATCATCAACACAAACAAGCGAGGCGTGTTTCGATCTCTGGGGCTTGCTGTTCTGTCGGGACGCCCAATGGGGGATGATCGACATGTCGCGGCAAGTGCGCAACAAAAATTGGAAAAACTACTTATTAACCGATACATACGCGATAAGCTGGTACGGCTTATGCGGATACAAAATGCATTACGTTCAATGGCCGCCGAGTCGGGGATTTGACTTCACTACTTTTAAAACGAAACTACTGTTTACACGGGTACGGTTTAACGAGGTTTCACTGTACTGGCAGAAGCATTGTGCGACAGAAATGCCACTCCTTACGTATATAGACAGTCGTGCGTATGGGAACTTTGAAACTTGAACTCTAACATTTTTTACTACGTAGAAGGGAGCATATTGTGGACAATGAAGAGCCCACAAAATGTTAATACTGAATGCTAATAGTGCCATTAAAACCTTATTAAAGTTGTACATATTCTGCTGACAAAATGTGCCCAAAAATTGCCTGTGCAATTAGAATTGAATACATAACAGAAACCATGCTCGCAGCACATGCTACAGCCAACCATCAGAAGGGCTGATGCAGCTGCCATCGCCATGGGAACAGCAGCTTTTTTGCCAATTTGCAGAGCTTTTCTTCATGCTCAGTGACTACCTGCTGTTGCAAATAAAGGAGGAAGAAGGGGCGGCGGGCACGAGCAGGAGCCTGAGGTGCTGGCTCGCTCAGTTGATTCCTTGACCTTCATCGCAGCCAGGAGATCGGGTCCGGGTCTCCTACAAAGAGCGCAGCGCAGTCGCCGAACATGCTGAGACATTGGATCACCAGATAAATTTTGAAGCGACGGCCATCCTTGAAAGCGAGCCGAACTGGAGGAGAAGGTTGTTACTCGAGTCGTGGCACATACAGAGGACAGCCAATAACATCATCCGCTGTCTCAGAACCCTTCCCCCAGTGTATACACACGGACTGCGCTCCACGGCAAAACGAGAGAGAGGGGGGGTCATTATCCACCCCGCGAGTGCTTTGAAGACGCCGCTGCTACGTAGCCTCCGCAGTCACCCCTGAGGAAGGAACCAAGTCGGTTTCGAAACGTCGGGTTTCTTCAAAACTTTTGGTTGGAGTCTAAATCATCTTCCGCTCCCAGGAATCGCCTCATGGAGAACAACACGTGGAGCCCTCCTCCTTGTCCCACAGGCGCCTCAGACCTGATCCTAGTGGTAGGGTCTCCAGTTCGTCTTTCCTGAAGCCCAAGGAAGTCCACGATTGGGAGTGCGAGTGGAAGCGCTGCTATGAGCCACACTCAACCAGGTTCGTGGACACCATGACCGTCTACGACGCCACCGAACATCACAAGAACATGGCGCATGACGTGAGAGACCTGCCATGGATGTACGAGCGCCACACCGCACAGCTCCAGCCCTACGCCACGCACCTCATGCAGGAAACAGTCAGAAACGAGGACTCTCGCGAAGCAGGACACACTGTGATCGACAAGTCGTCCGGAGACTCCTGCAATGATGCCACCAAATAGGCCACCATGGCCGAGAATTTCGCACCCGTAAACGTAAGCTCGTAGCACGTCGTCGTCAGAGATGCCGTACTGGACACCAACAATGTGCTATCAGGAACAGCACACGTGGACAAACCTCCACTGCCCTCGAAAGTGGACGAGATTCCCATCCTTAGCAAAGTCGCTACGCGAAGATACCACGATCCATCAGCATTATCGTTGTCCTCATCGAGTGAGGAAGAAGAAGAATCATCCTGGATTGCGGAGTCTTTATTCAGATCGGAAGCACCTGTAAGCCAGGCACACTATCAGGACCAGCTGACAGCCGAAGTGGTCAAGCGGAGCATATTCGTGCAGCACCTGCAGAGGCTCGACATGAAATGCCAACAACAGCAAGGATAGTGATGATTATCAGGAAGCCTTCCGAATGTACAAGAGCAGACTAAAGTCAGACTCGTCCTACTACAAGCTATGCAAGAAGCGCAAAACCTCCCAGTATGACCTGAAGATGGCAAACGTGACGGCGAAGTCATCTACACACTACAGTTTGAAGGGACGGCTTCCCCCGCAAGACAAACCACCACCTCAATTGGCTTCGTCATAGACAAGGGGCCTCTTCATCGTTGTGTCACACCTTTTGGTAGATTCACTTAAAGCCTGACATCGACAAGCGCTGACGGATCATCTCTGGAAATGCTGCCGAAAGGAGTGCTTGTTGTTTCCACGTTTGGCCCACAAAGCGGCACTGAAGGCTCCACCGCGACTGCAGGTCGTCGACGTTATCGTGGTGCACGACGACTCCCTGCCAATAATGTGGAAGATGGCTCACGTAACCGAACTGCTTCCCGGTCGCAACAACATCGCCCGAGCGTGCCCTTCCGACGTTTGCATCCGGCTCCAGCATCAGGCGACCGGTGCAAAAACTGTACCTTCCCAAAGCAGGCGGTACTTCTTAAGTTTTTGTGGCCGCGGGAGTGTGTTGTAAATAAAGGAGAAAGAAGGGGCGGCGGGCACAAGCACGAGCTACGGGCGCTGGCTCGCTCAGTTGATCCCTTGACCTTCAACGCAGCCAGACGATCGTGTCCAAGTCCCCTTCTCCGTTTCACACAACTGCTATATGCGTCACATATGTTCTTAGCGAAGAGCAAATGGTTCCAGTAATGTGCAAATCCATTTTAGTACACTATGAAAGCCCATATTGAAGAAACTTATCTTGCACTGCACACTGAAGACAGCTGCAAAATAACTGCATTAAGTTAGTTTGTGTGTGTGTCCGTGTCCGAAGTGCTAACAAAGGGAGAATTATGCCTGCACGCTAACCAGGAAGTTTCTACGGGTCGAAATTGGGCAAAGAATCGGACCTTGAAGACAAACTCCAAGTAAACTGGGCTTTTCCAGGTTTACATGGTGTCAGGCGTACGTCCAGATACATAAGATGTGAGCAGACAGCCACAGACATATTTTGTCTAATCACCGTTTGTCACCAGTAAATGGTCTTCACCCTCTAAGTGTCTTTGCCATACATGTACGATGGTAGTTTTCTGCTCCGTTGTCTTTATCGTAGAAGTATGTTTTCGGCCCTAGGCTAAACATTTCGCGCTGTAATGACAATGTGTGTGCATAGAGAAGTGTTGCCACCTACTAGGACTTACAACAAGTATTGGAAGCCTTTGTGCTACCTTCTAGCGGAGATAAACAAAACTGATGTCTAGCTTCAGTGCGTCGTGCAGCCTGCAGTAAAGCCAGTGAGCAACACCTTCCCTGGTTTCGGTTTTGCCACATGATCGCAAAGGTGCACAAAACAAACATGATATTTACCTTTGTAAGCACTCCCTCTCAAAGGTGGTGCAGGATGATTGTCACCTTTACTGGTGCTGCTATTAGCTTGTTTATCAAGGACACTTACGAGGTATTCTCATTTTCCTTGAATAACAGAGTTTATTCTGCCTAAGGCAGTCACACGCAGAAAAGAAGATGCCGCGTCTTGACCAGTACAACTTGCCGCTCAAAGAGAATGGATGCGAGTGTTATGTGAGCGTAGAGCGCTAAGGCATCAGAAGGGACAATTGGGCGAGTTGGTGCACTTCTATATTAAATGACTAATAGCGCGACAAAAACAGAGACGGGAAAGGAAAGACAATCTACGCACAGCGCCTGTGCGTAGACAACTGCTTCAGGGAATACCCCGCTCTGCAGTACCGTTGAATGTTTGGCTGAGTCATGCTAACACGAAAAAACTGTTCCTTTTTTTTTTTTAATTCACAACTTTTTCCCGACTTCAAGATTTTCGTACATTTAAAAACTGCAATAAAGTAACTTGACCATCTGAAAAAGTATCACTAAAAAAATTCAACACACAAAGGGTTAAATTGTCAGTTGGCATGTTTTCATTCCAGCTTACCACACTTTCTGGACAATAGTGCTTTCACAAGAGCTTGCATTCTACACTGAAGTTCTAGTTATCTCTCGGCCTGCACTGACCCAAGGTTGAATCGTATGAGCCGACAACAACTCACTATGAGGCCGAGTCATTGAGCTGGTACTCCCGTGAGCGGGCAAAGCAGTGCTGCACCCCTGGGTCCTGCCAGAGGCGCTTCATCAGCGAGGCCAGCTCCGGTGTGATGTCACACTCTTGGGACGACGTCGCTCCTGCCACCGTGAAGAACTGGCGGGCGTCATCCTGCAGAAGCCATACATTCAGTCTCGGTGTACAAACTTCTATATAATTTACCGATTCACCCAAGTAGAAATGCAAGCATACACAAGAATACATGTTATACCACATTTACTTGCGTAATCCTCACGCTCGCAGAATTCTTGCACACCCCCAGCCCAGCCCAACAAAAAGATTTGTTTTCCTTGTGTAATTATCGCGCACCCAAAAATTGCAGCAATAATGTCTGCTTCTTCCGACCCCTGATATTGATGGTTCACAATAGCCTAGCGCCATCTTTTAAGCATCATGCACAGTATTAAAGCACTAGCCTCGATACAAGCCGAGCCAAAATGGCAAGTGCGCGTTGCAGTGTGCTAGACTGCGCAGCATACGTTGTGTCCATTCTGTGGCTACGCTATGGGGTGACACAAAAGCTACCTGGCTGCTTTCAAGGTGAAAGTGATCGATCGTGCACTAAACAACGGCAACAGGACTGCCGGCCGGCACTTCACGAGTTTTGTGTTCGTTACTGGTGACTGCAGCACGAGCAGCTGAAAGCCACCAAGAAGCATAGGGCCTTCCGTGTGCCACAGAATGGGATGGATGGTAAAGCTTTGCTTCTTCGGAAGTAAACTGCGGACAATCCTACGTTGGATAGCCATCAGCCCGAAGTTTACCACAACCAGTAATATCCACAGGTTAATCAAGGTGGCCTTTCTTGTTTACGGTAAGTGTTTCCACTCGAAGACCCTTGAGACAGTGGCTTTAGGCCCGTATTCACAAACCAACCTCAACCTTACCTCGAGTTCTCCTAATCCCTTTTAAGCCTTTATTGCGCATGGTGAACAAAGTAGGTCAGTGTTCATTAACCAACCTTGCTATTGTCTACCCTATTTCCATTTTTGTGCCCTTATAACGATTGTAGAGAGTACAGGAACTTGAGGAAAACATGAGGTCAGGTAAGGTTGGTTTGTGAATACAAGCCTTAGTGTCTGCAATTAAATCTTGCTTAGTGGTGAACCTGTTGTTATATTGAGGTAAGTCCTAATTAATGCTTCTCAAAGCTTGTGGTTAGTTGCTGGCGTGAGAATTCGATTTGTGGCCTCTTTATTTTCATTCTCCATCTATATAACCATATCAAATATTTTCCTTGCATAATTCTCGCACCCCTACACTATTCATTGGCTTTCCGTGATTTGATTGATTTATATGTGAGGTTTAACGTCCCAAAACCACCATATGATTATGAGAGACGCCGCAGTGGAGGGCTCCGGAAATTTCGACCACCTGGGGTTCTTTAACGTGCACCCAAACCTGAGCACACAGGCCTACATTTCCGCCTTCATCGGAAATGCAGCCGCCGCAGCCGGTATACGAACCCGCGACCTGCAGGTCAGCAGCTGAGTACCTTAACCACTAGACCACCGAGGCGGGGCGGCTTTCCGTGGAAGAGAATTCGAGAATTATGTCAGTAAATATGGTACTAAAATAGCAACAACACTTGAAGATGACACAGCAGACATGTCAGACAATGAAATAAAGGTCCAGTTTTACATGCACTAGTTGTTGATGCGGCGAAGCTAACCAGCAAATAATCATCCCAAAAGAAGCAGTAGTTTACCGTAATTACTCGAATCTAACGGCACACCTTTTTTCCGGTTAAGCGAGTTCATAAATCGCATGCGCGTTAGAATCGAGTACGAACAAAAAAATTACGGTCAATCTATTGCCATCGGCAAATCCAAAATGGCCGCCCCCTACGTGCGTCGGCATGGCGCACCTTTCCTTCCTCCGTGGCATGGCGCGTCGGCCATTTCTGCCTATGTGTTTCCCATGTGCGGCACTTCGTACGTGTGCTGAGGAGTTCGTCATCTAGTAGTGCATTAGCATCGACGGCGTGGAAGGGCCGACCCCAAAAACTCGAGTGCACCACGATGCCGATTTTAAAATAAAAGTCATCACGTGTGCAGAAACGGACGGAAAATCGGGCCGCATCTCGGTCGTTCGGAGTTCCAGAAACGTGCGTGCGGGAGCGGCGGAAACAAAAGCAGAAGATTGTCGACAGCAAAGCTTCACGCAAAGGCTTCAGTGCACCACTGCAGGGTCGGTTTCCGCAAATTAAAGAGCTGCTCGGCGAGTATGTGCTTGAGCAGCGAGCCGCACAGCGGCCCGTGACGACAGAACTGCTCCAAGTGCGAGCTATGCAATTAGTCTTAGAAAAAGGTCTAATGCGGAGCCAGTTTAAAGCGAGCAGGTGCTAGAAAACTAACTTTATGAAGAGGAAAGGCTTTTTCCTCCGAAGGGGAACATGCATATGCGAAAAGTTTTGCGAAGGAGTACGATGAAAGGCTTCACAGTTTTCAGAGGTTCGTCCTAAACTTACGGCGCAACAACGGCTACCTGCTTGGGCAAATCGGGAATGCCGATCAGACGCCGCTTTACTTCGACATGCCTGGCATTACAACCGTCCAGAAGAAGGGGGCGAAGCAAGTTCGCGTGTTGACATCGGTCCACGGTAAAACTACAGTGACGGCAATGCTCTGTTACACGTCAGATGGGCACAAGTTTCGCCCGTACCTCATATTTAAATGGAAGACGCTCCCGAAAGGAGTCGTTTTTTCAAGTGGTGTGATCGTGCTGGCCAGCGAGAAAAATGGGTGCGCGTTGCAATCGATGTCTTACGTTTTTTTTTTTTTTTTGTCGTATAGTTATTCTTCTCTTAAAGCATGACGTGGTTAGGACATGTTCCTCCTACATTTTTAATAGAAGCACAACTAATAGTACTGCAAATTACTACAGAGCACAAAAGTGCCCTTATAAGTTACCATATTTACTCACATAATGAACTTGCCCACATAACAAACAGCACTTTGGTCCTTGAAAAAAATATCACAGCACATTAATGAATTGAATGACCATGAGTGGGCAAAGCAGTGGGATCGTCCTGTGTTACTGTAAATCACTCATGACACTGACAGCTGACGATGTGAATGAGTGCCAAGCAGTGTACAGTTATATACAATGCTAATTGGTGTTATGTTGTGTAGTGAATTTCGTTTTGCCTTCATTATTACTGCTTTGTAGTATCAGATCTAGCTTGTAGTGGGAAAGACGAGGTCTGGGCACATACTGCTCGTGGTATGTGCCTATACTAGAAAAATGCTAAAACTAGTGGAAATGCGAACAGCGGAACAGCCACGGAGGAACAGTGGACCGCTCTCCTCACAAGTCTGAAAGTGGAAGATCAACTTCGGGCTGTCCAGAGAGCCCACGACCTGGTCGTCGAGTTCCATCTCCTGGTCCAGTCGTGGACGCGGGCCGCAGATGAGCCCCCTTAGGGGGACTTGTCTTCTCAGGACAAAATAACGCTCACTTCAGTCAGTCAGCGACCTTAGAAGCTCGCGGAGAACGTCGACAACACACTTGAAACTGTCAACACGACAAAGGCACAGAGTCGACGTGAACCTGCAAGAACGCATGGTTATCAAGAGGCCGTAGTGGCTCACAGTTAGTTTTGGTTCCATCTTGTGTTACATTATTTTGAGTGTGTGTTTTCTCTTTATGTTGAATGTATAAAGTGTGTTTGTCTTGCTGCTCTCGTGTCAGTTGCAAGCACTCCTAAGATAATTGCGACAACATTTGAAGTGCAAATACATACGCTAGGGGAAGTGAAAAAAAAAAAAAACGGTAGCGAGGAGAAGGAGTTTCTTGGCACATGTGCACAACTGTGCTTTGTCATAGAAAACTGCAAAGATAGATCATCTATGTTTGTTAGTGCAATATATCAGGAGCTGATACATGCTTCACCTAAAACATGAATGGCAAAGGCTTTATATACAGTTGACGTCCCATTTCTTCGACCTTCGACCCTCAAGGGACCACAAAAATGTCCGGAAAATTGGGCAGACCACTCAAACGAATGCACGTGAAAACACGCCTTCTTTACAGGTATTTATAGCGGACGGAGAGGGTCATGGCCGGAGCGCAAAATGTTTGTTGTAATCAAGCCAAGGCATCGTTTAGGTAATTCGAAAAAGAGTCGTTCATTAAAAAATAAAAAAAAATATTTGTGGCTGACGCTACCTTAATGGTCAACACTTTGGGCCAAAAAGTTGCTTACTTGCTTTTGCACGGCGTTTCGCTTGTCCATGATGATGTCTTCCTCAATTTCAGCTAATGTCATGCTGTCACAGTACATCGATGACAGTGTCATCAGTGCTCGCATCCACTTCGAGCTCGTTGGCCACGTAAGCACTGCCTCCTTGATCTCTCAGTCGGAGTTCTCGAAATCCTCCGTCACTTGAATGACAACATTGGTCAATTCCGCCCACAGATTGAGATCTTTGTTAGCATCGGCGAAGCCTCTAAAGGTTAGCCCAGCTGAAATCAGAACGCCGGCAACATGCAGATTGTCGAAGGCAAGATCTGCGGACGGAAGTTCATCACACACACTGTCCATTCCAGGCGAGATGGCTGTCTCAGCGAATTCGCTTGACGAAAAGCACAGCGCCAAACAGCTACAATCTCAGTGGCTGCTGAAGTTCGGAATGTCAACGCCAAAGGTAGCGTGCAGCAGCCACTACTGCGCAGCTGACAGAAAGATATGTGAACGAACATAGGGAAGATTGACCACAGATTTGACTAAGCTACGGCAGGAAACAAATTGGCGGGTGCTAGACTGCTTCGATTGCGGTTCTGAGGGTGCAGCATCCGCGACCATTCCCTAGCACGTGCATGCGATGCGAGTATGATGGATTTGAGGGTATGAAAACAACCAAAATGGTGGCGTTAACGGTGACTGAGTATGCGGTTAGCACTAAAAAGCCCGAAAAATCAAATGGGGAAGGCTATAAGCATCCGAAATTTTGAACTTTTCAATACATTGACTAAATTGGAAACTTGACGGTGCCGGAAATGAGTCCGGGTAATCAGGCATGTCCGAAATTTTGGGCGTCCGGCAAATCGGGCACTTGATTGTATTTAGCGGCCGTGATTATCAGGGTACCAACGCAACATGTGCATCTGGTGAAATTTTCAGAAGCATCCACACTCAGCACAATGGATTGCCAGATTGCTACCTGTTTTTGTTTCGATGTTGCTGGAGTGTTCACGCAGGCAATCATTCACACAGCGGCTAGCCTGTCCAATGTAGGTGCTACTGCAGGATGTGGAAACCTCGTAGATAACACCCATATTGCATAGGACAAAGGCGGTGACACGAATCTTTTTGCACATATGACTAGCAGTGTTTGACTGACTGCTAAACAGTGAAGTCAGTGCGCTCGCTAGACAAGAGAGAAGAAGTGCTAAGGTCATGCACATCCCTGCCACCTTGTTCATACTGGAAAAATGCTAAAACTTTTGCAACAGTCAATGCATGGGGCAATAAACTTTTTAAGGAAACCATTCGACGACTACCTGGAAGAATGTTGCAGGGCCCCTTTCAATCTTTGACAGTCAAAAATGTACATGCGCGTCATTGCATGTAGATTTAAAATGCACAACTTTCCCAAATATTTTTCTTGCTTGGCATGTGCTGCCACACTGCACACTACATGATTACATGAATTTTTTTTTCATGCACTGATGTCTCCACTTTTTTTTTAATTTTCTTTCCAAAGCAGCCCGCTGGCTTTCGCCTGTGCATCCAAGCGCACATGCTTAGTATGACTGGTTTTGGTTTGGTCTCTTAAGTGGTTATCGCTTTTCAGAACACCTATACTGATGGCTGCCTGGTTTCTAATCTCTCAAAAGCTGACCACTTGTTACTCTTTCCTTAATTGCTCCTCGAGGTGTGCTTACACCTGCTTCCATGCAGCCCTAAATTACAAAATAGGCCACTGTGGTTGCATTTCCTATTTTTAGTACACTGAAAAACTACTTCATCACATTGGAGATAAATAGCTCTCATTCGTTTTGCTTTTCGGACAGGCGCACAACCAGACATTCTTTCTGAGCACTTACTCGTGCACTTAACTTGCGCTATGAGAGTGTGTGACAGTTGCTGTGCTGCTGGTGAGTTAAGCAGCGAATCCTTCGATGTGGACAACCACCGAACAGCCGAATAAGAATCTGATTCATTGGATGCAAGTTCAGGTGAGGATGAAGAAGCGACATCCCAAAAGTGTGTGCGGAAAGATGATGCTGACTGGATTCAAGGTGATTATACCCCGTCAGTGTTTCCATTTGACACTACTCGTTCAGAACAAGTTTCTAGCTCTGTGTTGTTGCAAGACTTAAAAAATGTCGAGTACTTTTCAGGACTTCTCCGTCTTTTTTTTTAAAAAGGATTTTGCCTGTAGTTACTTAGGAATGAAGCTTGTGCCTGTAACAACACATTTTTTTTGTCACTTTATGGTCACACAAAAATTTCTTTGACATTTTTTTCCCATAAGTAGATTCACATAAAGGATTTATTCCAGCAATATAAGGAACATTTACGAGACATATTTCACACAAAAAAAAAAATCGGCCATCTAAGGGATAAAGATAAGTACATGTATATTTTTGCATTCAGATTCTGCTCCCACCAGCAGTTATCCACGAGTAAAATCCCCCCCTTAGCAGCAATGAACCAATATATCTGGAAAGTACTCCACAACTCAAGAGTAGAGAAGCCTACAAACCTAATTGACCACACAATAGGTAAAGGCTGTGTGTGCCCTCCGCTAGTAAAAGCTGTGTGCCCTCCGCTAGTAGTCGCTATATATAGTCACGTTGCGATTGAGGGTTTCACGCGTGGCGGTTGCAGAAAATGGTAGTTCCATTTTCAATCCAAATGCACTGGCTGCGTATGTGCCTTCAAAACCAAGTAGCTTTTTTGCTATCTATGATTGCATCTGCTGCGGCTTTGTCTGCAGCGTTTGTGGAAAGCAGCGTCGCTTTGACTAGTCGAGCGATGGACTGTGCACGCACTTTTGGAGTTCTGTCAGTTCCGTTGTGGCTATAATCATGTCTAGAAGTACCGCAGTTTTGCCCACAAACGATAACTACAGCTGAGACAATGCATGTGCTGGCCGCGCGCGTCCTTACGAAGCTTTGAGCATAATGATGTCAGCCTTCGGTTCGACGGTTTCGGTACTAAAGTTCATACGACCAGCTGCGATGAGAAAAAGTATTCGAAATATATAAATTTCGGCCCAATGAACGTCGTGGAATTTGACTGGGGAATTTCACCAATTTGTATCAGCCGGTTTCGCATCATTCCAATTCTACTGTACATTTACACTAATGCCTCCTAAATTCCTTTAAATAAAATTCAACAGGTTTGCAGAAAGCCTTGATCTGATTGGGCTGCATTTTGATTTCCGGGAGACTTATAAGGTATGTCTTCACCTGGTACTGCGCAACCTCTGGAATCAGTCCAGCATTTTCCCAACTGTGATGGCATCCATTATGAAAAATATTGACGGCCATCAGCCTCGTCTTGAAGCTGAATGGGCATGCTCTGATTGTCCAAACTGCTTCACAAACAATACCGATCTGGCCAAGCCTCTTCAAGTGTGGACTGGATGTGAACGGACACATCTCAACACATGGAAATGCGCAGGTGAGACAGAGCACGCATAATGAGTTTAGTAGAACTCAAGTCAAACGAGAACATGTGACTGCAGCGATTGATGATCCAACTTACAGCTCGACTGGGGTCCTTGAAGTCAATCTTGAGCTGCCCCATGGCACGGATGATGGCCAGCAGGCTCTGGATGGTGTTGCTGTGCACCACGGGCCGGTAGAGCTTGCATTCGTCTGCCGTGTACCCAGACTCGTGGATTATCCTAAAACACCGCACTTGCTGTCACTCTCTCAGAGATGTCTGTACATCAATACACTGAGGTAGAATGCGGCTCTAGGCACACCACAAAAAGTAGGTGCACTATCCTTAAGTGTGTTGCCAAAACGCATGAATGAACACTGTCGACACATGAACTTCTCAACATCTGCGACTATTTTCGTGTTAGAAGTGGCCTAAAATTATTACTAATTGTTGCGATTTTACGTCCCGAAGCAACATGCTAGCAAGAGACACCACAGTAAGAAGCTCTGAACATTTTACCGTGCACGTAAATCTAAGCATTTCACCTCCATCAAAATATGATCGCTGCAGCCAGGATACGATGCCACAAAATCAGCCCAACACTGTGGGAAATGCCTTGTTACACCAACCGCAATTACAGCATACAGACTCGTAAAGGAAGGTTAAAGACATTATGCACTTCATGACTACCAATTTAAAAAAATGCTAATTCACTAGTTGAACTTCAGCAACATCTCTGCAATACAAAAGTAAGGAAGACCAGCGGAATACGTTGATAATCATTCAATAATGCACTTGCAACAATAACAAGAGCCACATAAGGGTGAAACCAGGTGAGCATGAACATGTTGTCCAGGTAGAAATAATATATTTTGAATTATCTTACTTTAGTGACAAGTTTTAGACTCACAAGAAGCATTTTAAAGTTAAGTATGGTGAATACAATTTTTTTCCCTGAAAAAAAGAAAGAAATGCAGGTTTCTGCTCTCACAAACACACATTTGGACATTTCATACCTTTTCAACACTCAGTGTACTTTGCGCAAAAAAAAAAAAAGCCATGCAATTGCCTTGAATATTTTATGCCTATCAAGAACAAGTGAAACTTCATGTGTATTTTACTGCTATTCTCTATGCAAGCAATACTGATGAAGAAAAAAGGTCCAACATTGACATCTAAGAGGTCATTCCTGTCAACAAGGTAAGCTGAATATAATAGAACTGTTTTCACTGCCTAGTAAGGCACTATTTTACTTTTACGTATTGTCGAAACATACTAGTTTATTCAAGTAGTTTACTATAAGCATCAAAACAACTGTTCACAAAACACGTCATAATTTTATTATAAAAAAGCATATTAACAAGCGAAATCAATAAGATGCCTCACTACAGACACTGCAAAGGAATACTGAGGCAATGAAATGAAGCTTCTGCACATTCCGATGGTGAAACTATGAAACCAGTGAATATGCAAGTACACCTAAACTGTGTGCTGCATGGCAGTCATGTGGCCATCACGCTTATGGACCATTGTGGTGGTACTAAACGGAAGGCCCTCTTGCTTATTTTGCAAGCCATCTTGAGATAAAAAGGAAGTTGGCTCACCAAGCAATTTGGGGAGGGGGCTAACAGGATATTGCCACTTGTTTGAAACACCAGAGTGTGAGAAGAAGCCATGCTAACTTGCTGAGAAAATTGACTAATGAGATAATTTTTACTTTTCAACAAATGTCTGATTTGAAAGAAAAAGTTGGCTGCGCACAAAACTACACAAGGACACCGAAAACATGGATTCGCATTTGAGTAGCTCACTGAACTTTTGGAGCTTATCGCACTTAAAAGTGGTACTGCCGCCTACTTCATAAAGTCTAATGAGTGCTCTGTGAAAAAAACTGCTTCAAAAAGTTTTGTTTATCAATATCTGCCACTGCCCCAGATGCCTTACGCTTTAGAAAGCACACATGCGATTTCACAAAAGAGACAGTACAGTGGCTGTGAATATAGCTATGACGATTCAGACTTATTGTTTGATTTACTCGAAGAAGTCTAGCTACCGCTATGAGTGCCGTGTTGCTTCACGCGATTTGGAGATTTTGGGAACATGGGACAGAAGTGATTAAATACACTATGGAGCTGATCCGTGATCAGGCACAATTCAAATTTACAGCAAGTTTGGAGCAGTGAAAAGCCCATTTCAATATATTTAAAGGGCATGTCATAAATAATATACTACTGTGATACCTTAACTAGACTTTATAAAGCTGACACTAAACTTTGTATGCCATTCGACGTTAATATACAAGCACTACATGAAAGACTATTACTAAGAAATACGCTGTGAAAATCAAGTGTGAGTTTATATACAAGTAAAGTACAAAACATCTTTTCCAGCAATCTCACGGCCATTTGTGACTGTTGACTTGTGAAATACAGATGTTCATGAGAACTAGCGTCAATGAAATGATTAAAGTTGTATAAAGGCAAGCCACGACAAACCACTATGTTATGCTAGTATAGTGTTATAACAAAACTATACACCTAGTAGACAAAGTTCTTAAAAAGAATACGAGCTGAAGTGTCACAACATTAACAAACTATGAGTTAAACACAAACTTAAATGATACAGTCCCAGCAAATCATTCTATCCCTTAAATTTTTTTTTAAACAGCTACGCACAGAAAGATACAAAACACACACACATAAAAGATGCAAGCACAAGCATAGCATCTTTTATGTGTGTCCATTCTGTATCCTACTGTGCACTGTTTCTTCAAAAATCACGGTTCACCAACAGGCCTACGAGTACATATATTAAGCACATCCCCTAAGGGTATGGGCACTTGCTTGCCCTTCTAGAATAAGCCGAAATATTAGCATGTAGTTCCAACAGGAAGACTGCCAAGAATATAAAACATCGACAAAAACAGATCAAAATCTGCCAAGACGTCAACCAGACTCATTTTTTACCCAGACTGCGTTGCTTGATAAAAAAATTCAGTGCGCCAAAACGAAAAAAAGTGTGCAACTGCACGACAAATACCTTTCATACAAATTTGGAGCTCCGCACATGCAAGTGGATAGCCAGACCATATTCTGCGCCACAAAGGTCTACTCGCATGCGCTCACACACACGCGTGCACACACACACACACACACACACACACACATATATTGCCGTGTTCCCTCCTCAAGTTGTGTTTTCACCCCGTTGCATTGTACCTATTTCTCAGCGCAAACCACGCCTGCAGTGTTCGAGAAGCTTTGGGATCGTATTAGATCATTTCGTCAATATTGTGCCTACTACGCGAACATTACAGATTATTCTGGAGTCTACGTGGCCCCTAGCGATAATGCTAGAATATTCGACAACACGTGTACAAATGCCGAACCTCTTGTCCCCTCACTACGCCTCATTGCTTGTCATTTGATCGACAGCAGACGCTTTGTTCGCCACTATCAGTGCCAGTGCATTGCTGTAATCTGTCTTTGCTTTTACCTGGCCCCAAGTTTGGCTGAATAAATAATTCATTTGCAACTTTAATTGCAACATCCAGTCTTATCCATACCTGCACGTCACAACCTTTATACTAGTTCTGCAGTAAAATTCTGCTCACTGCTCAAAAGCAATCAAGAAGGAACAAAACTTCAGAACATTTTAGCTGACGCCTTTGCCACAATAAACAAGTTCCAAGACAGTCTGAGAATAAAGCAACTCTCGTACCTTAAACTGACCTATAACTGCCGAGAACATAAAATGAGATTACTTCCCTGATGGAGAGATTGTCCACCAACCTCGTTTTCGTGAGAAGTTAATTTATTTTTATTTCTTTTATTTATTCACTGAAAGTTGCAAAAAATTACCTGTGGCTTTTGACACAAAAACTTTGAATGGCCCAATGCACCCCAGCCACATGGCAGTTGGTTATTATACAAGGTCGACGATTGTTTTGTTAGCATTCAAATATTGTTTGTTTTATATATTAAAAGATATTACTGTGTAAAATTGTACACACAGTCCTGTATTAGTAGTGTGCATTAACGTGGCACTACCTTCATATGATGTAATGATACTAGCTCGCCAGTTCACCTCGAAAAAACCTTCAGCGTGCTCTTGCAACCATGCACACAGTCTCCAGGATGAGAAAATTTTGGAGTGATAATGTTTCGCTATTTATACTTCGTCTCGGAAATGACACGCACTGCTACTCGACACGGCCACAAATATGAATAAAGGATTTTCGATGACTTAGGCTGGCTCATGTATCAAGAGAGTAAAGATGCCAGGACAAGCAACCCCTGACCCAAGCACAGGGCAACCTTGGATGCTGACGCACATGACATGGTACAAATACAAGGAAGTGTATGATGACCAGCATCTCAATGTAACGGCTTGTTATATTAAAAAGTAGTTGAAAAGCTCGAAATAGAGACGGTTAAGCATAATTACAGGTTCTCCAGCAAAAGAAGAATGACGACACTTTTCACAAATCGCGAGAAAAGCTGGGGGCATCACTACCAACTGTCAGCGTCGTTAAAAGAAAGGTACATCCATGTTTACATTTAGACTTTTTGAGATAGAAAAATGCTGCTTGTAAAATAAGCAAGGCACTTTTCAGATGAACTACTGCAGCTTCACACACTACTAATGGTAAGCTTTTTGTCGGGCCACAATAAATGGGTTGAGAAAAATCTTAACGGACCCTTTAAGGCCACCCATATCTTTCCAGCCTTCTATCAGCCCATGTACGACACCACAGGCTGAACCCAAATGCCTCAGTAGACCACGTTCGCACTTCCTTAGAGCAACAAGGCTCTTCTGAAGAACAAGAATTCTATGAATCCCCTGCATGCCACCACTATCTCACGTGTAGCTTACAGAAACAGTCACTGACCTTCCTCATCTCGGCTGTTAAGTGAAAAATATTTTTCACATCATTGCATGAGCAAACCGCGCTTGCACAGGCTATTTGCAGTAAGTGACTAGTTGCCATTAGCTGTTCAACCTGCATAGTATAAAAGTTACAATAGCAAGAAAGTTATAATTTTGAAAAAGGCCCATTCTCTGTCCCGGCAGCCACAGAGCAATAGCGACAAAACGTCACAACACTGTACTACCGGCGTCAAATGAAACCTGAACCACAGCAAGCATTGGCCATGGTACAATGTGTACCGTCCAGTTATTACAATGGACGGTGCACATATGTACGGTGCTGCCAAACCACGCCTTTCAATGGTGTTGACT